ATTTAATAAAATTTTATATATTCTTTAAGTCAGATTATGTCGTTAAAATCTTGCGTATGTGAACCTTATTTACTATAATATAGTTTCTCTACACCTTGTTAAGAGGTCAGTTTGACGTAAATCAACAATTACTAGGAAATTTTGACGACAAATATTCTTTAATCACGATTGCTATTCTTGTTTATTTAAAAACTGATCAAAGATCATTAAGAAAATTTAATTATAATCTATGATGTAATCTATTTCTATTTCATCTACAATGGACAGCAATATATCCGGAAATCAGTTGACAAAATTTCCAGATGGAATTGAAATAATGCTGCATAAGAAATTACACCACCTGTGAGTAGAGTTTTATCTTTATGATACTATTTAATATGTAGTTGCTATGCACATCTTATCTGCTATGTTAACTATAGCATTCCTTCCTTAGTAACACCACTTAGTGTCTTATTATTGCGAACTAGGAATACTACTAACCTGCATTGAGAGGTTAAGATTGCTCTTCAAATCCAAGTTACTGTAAATCGGAATAACAATCAGTTCATAGTCTTATATAGATATGATTAAGCATCGTGACGCCTTCAATCTTGCTAGAAAACCATAATCTACTTTATTGTCGGCGAAGCTACAGCTTGTTTAAATTTAGATACTTAAAAGTGACCTAACTGTACGAGTCACTTCGCCTTTTAGCAATTAACCAAATTAATGTGTTTGAGAGTTTTCATTTGTACAGTAAGGATTCAATTCAATCTAATCTTATTATATTTACTGTACTAGTATTAAACCAATCAATTCCTAATCAAAGTTTGAAATACATTAGATTACATTATTAAGATTAGGGTTTGAAGCCCGTAAGAATTTTGTTACCCCTCTTCAATATTGAAATTATCCAGGTGTTCGTGTATTGCACTTGGGTATGAAAGCCTAAGTTGTAATACCTAATTGAGATACTGCATTTTATCTAAGCTTAGAAGCTACACTTTCAATCTTGACATTGTTTGTGGTAATACATGCAATCTAGTAAACTACTAGGTGGTTGCTATTTTAATCCATTTAATTCCAAATTAAGAATTGCTTAAATATCATTCATAAAGCACTACAGTTACACTTCAGTAGACCGTAAACATTACTGGCATAATAGCATATATCAAACGTAACTACGAAGCCGCGTAAATTTTAAGATTCGTTCAGTATTAATTAATTAAGTAATACTCTAGTAATAAGTACAGAAAATATAATTTCATGATGCTTATGATTCTATTCATTAATCGATATAGATTAATTTTTAATTTCTTGAAATAATAAAACAGTCGTGAGCTACCTTACCAAAGGCCTGGCTTGAACCTTCGCCGACATAATTTCCTTCTTTCTTCCAGTAATTTTTCTGATACAGGTATAAGTGTCAAAGAGATTGAGAACAACCTTAACGTGCAAATTTCAGATTGCCAAAACATGGATGAATCAGAAAGAATTCAAAATTCTTGTGATTTTACTTTGTAAGAAATGTAACTATAATCTTAAAATTAAGCCTTTACATATATGAATCAATATGTTAGCGTTGGATTGACATCACCAATTGAAAGTAATAATAAATTCAGTGTGCAAATAAAATTATTAAAGTAAAATACTTAAAATCATACGATAATATACTGTTCAGAAACTTAGCCATTGTAAATATATCCTCTTTTGCAGCGAATCTAATTACTTTAATGTGCTCATATTAGCGATTTCAGCAAGCTGAAATGGATAAAAATACCAAAAGTAATAAATCATTTCCGATTGCATCTGACCCATTTGTGAGTAATTATAACTATTCTTAATAATTGTGTTGAATAGCCTTCTTTCAGTAATGAAAGCTAGTAATTATTGAAAAGTTATAACTTTCTATCGTTATTACAGGTATTTAAGCCATAATAACTTACAGCGTGTTGATATAAGCAATATCTTTCCTAGCAGCGACACGAGACTACGTCAACTGTACGTACATAGGCGTGTAATATCTTTAATTATTAATCCCTTCCGATACTTTAACATTTTCTGCAGGCAAATTTTGCTAATAATTTATATCTTAAAGCATGAATTTCCAAATTTAGTAGTATAAATTACAGAAAATTTTGCGAAACTACCTCCGTAAATATTATTTTGCTTGTTAACAGCCTATTCTTAAATTCATAAATGACATTTTAGTTATTGTAGCAAATGCGCCTAAATATATTTCACCATTCCAAATTCACAACTTGAAATTTTACCGTTGAATTACTAAATGCTATTTCTAGTCAAAATCTCTTATTTAAGATACCGTATTTATTTATAGTATCGATAGATAAAACTGGTTAACATTATAAGATGTAGATTTTTAAACTAAAAAAGAAGTAGTATCAATTATAAAGAAATTGTACGTTTTACTTTTGCTTGTAATTGTTGGTTGATATTGTCGTATAAATATGAATGTAAAAGGACATGTATTGCGATTGCACTATTAGCAGTTCAAATTCTTTCTCACTTTTTCTGGGTTTTAAGAGCATAAAATCATCACTGCTAAGCATATTAATAGTATTTTTATCAACTTTTAAAGATTTACATAAACTTTATAAAGATATACGAATCAATTATAGTGGAAAAATTTTGATCTTAATTAGTCAAAATATTTACTCTGCCTGCTTTACAGAGACCTAAGTTATAACAAACTAAATTCCTTGACTAACATTCAACGAATAACTTTTTCAAATTTAAATGTGCTGTAAGTTATTTATTATTAGGATCTTCTGTTATTGCATAAAAGGAAAGGCGAAAGTAAATACAGCTAACGCTAAGTTGCTATATTATTGTAATATTTGGACTACCTTATGTTAGAGATGTATCCAACAACAATTTAAGCGACATATGTAGCATTTCATGGGTTGGCTTTGCTGAAAGCTTAAGGCAATTGTGAGTACTTCTAGGTATTTCGTTAAAGCAACTATGATAAGAATAATATAAATAGCACAGAAATAATACTGTAATCAAATATCAACACCAATCTAATGCCTAGCTGGACATCAACACAAATGGCGGTGTACTAGAATCAAATATCTAGATGATTACTCCAATAATAGGCCAATGAGATACCTGCATTAGGATTTAAAGCAAACAGTTTCAATTTAAACAATCTTCCTCTCTTGTATCCTAGACCTACTCTTAAACTTAGATATTCTTACATATTTATGCCAAAGTAATTAATGTGATTGTAGTAGTTAGTCAATGATCAATAAAAATTTTAGTCGTTGATTGCGAGCGATAATCATAATATGAAATGTAGCTCACAAATACAAATATGAGGCGAAAAATAGTGAATCCTATATAATACTAACGTTTCTTTAAGATCAGGATTTCATTATTGCAGAAAATTTATCATTAATCAAACCTAAAGATTTACTTATTGCCTTACCTATAGAATACTATTAAATATTTTCGTTCAATTTTATACTATGATAAAGATATTTGGACCGAAACAATATTAACACACTAAAAGAGACTTGTTTTCAAGGATTAAATAAACTGTATTCGATGTAAGTTATGTTTGTAATATCGCTTATTACGTAGAGCAGATAGTGGAGATTAGCCTTTGCGTGTTCAATGCTTTAAATTGTGTTATAAATTTTAGAAGCCTTAAAGAAAATTCCATACCATATGTAGCAAAAGAAACATTTTATCGCGTACCAGGACTTATAAAATTGTAAGTAGCAATGTGCCGTAAACGGCTTCATGACGATATCTGTAATAAAGTAATACACCCTACCTTCATAGCTTAAGTTTTGAAAAAAATCGACTTTCAAATATTGCTATAGATGGTACTTTACTATTTCATTAAGATATGATACATGCTTTCAACAAATGGTATGCACTTCAATATTTCTGAAAATATAACAAACTAGTTCTATCGCAAAATAACGAGCAAGCCATGTCTACAAATCTTCTCACTAAACCTTCTATCAGGGCACTGTTCTGTTTAAAGAAATATTTGAAAAAAATTATGCACATTGCTTAGTTTTTTGGTGCGCTATGTCAACAAGAATACGATTAGGTAATAAAAGTACTCTATCCATATCTTTTTTTCAGGCAAAGTTCCTTCACTAAAGTTGCCTATAGCTAAAATGTCGATACAGTGGATTCTGCCTTATATAATTTTACCGTTATGGAAACTCGTGCGAATTTTGATCACACTCATGTTCGCACATATTATCTAGAATATTTCTACTAATCCCAGACTGATTATTAGTTGTTGTAAAAAAACCTGTTCTACTGATTGTAATTAAAGTATAGTTCACACGAATAATTTTTTGAACAGCAGATTTTATTACTGGGAAAACTTCCTACAACAGCAGATCTTAGTAAAAAAGGACTAAGAGCAACAATGACAGAAAAGTGTAGCAGCTTAAATATGTTATCTAACTTGTTTATAACATGATAATTGCGAAAAACATAATTCAACGCTTACAGAACTTAGTATGAGAATAAAATTATATGATTGGTATCATATTCTATAAAGCTGAAATTAACATACTTGAATTATCACAAACATTGCTTATATATAATTATTATAGTTAATGACCCAAGGTTTCGGTATTATTCTTAATTTAGGTCTAATTCACTTCTGCATAACATGTTGATAACAATAGCTTGTCTAACAGCTTCACTATAGTTGTGTATAATACATATGTCTTGCGTAGAAATGAAATTTCTGTATGTCAAGAAATATTAGCAATTCAGTGCAAGCAATGGAATTGTCGTACAAATTTAACAGAGAGAAAATTATATTAATCATAGACTATTGTAACTTCTGACAAATCAAGATCTTAGCTGATTAATCCATAATGAATCTTTAATGCTGCCTATATCATCGAATTAAATAGACAGAATTATTTTGTATACTATCTAGATATTCTTCACGGACCTACTTGTGCTGTATGGTACCAGCATCGGTTAAGACTTGCTATCCCTTACGACGATACGATGGTCTATCGACTTGTGATGGTCTACTATCCCATTTTGTTCTGCAAGCCTATATTTGGCTGATTGGCTGTACCGCCTTTATTGGTAATATTGCTGTCTTTAGTATGCATGTGAAGGAAACAAAATGCAAAAAAAACGGAGTTCCATCATTTTTAATCGCTAATTTAGCAGTTGCTGACTTTAGCGTGGCTAACTATATGTTAATTATTGCAATTAGCGATCGATTTTACAGTAATAATAAATTTGGAGTCAATTCCGAACAATGGCTACGCAGCATGCCATGTTTATTCGCCTGTTTTATATGTTGTGCAGCAAGCCTAATGTCTGTCTTTATGATGCTGATTATTAGTATTGATCGATTTATTTGCATGGTTTATCCGTTTTCTAAAAGAAAATTAACACTTAAATCTGCATTATTGTTGGTTATGGGCTTTTGGCTCTTTTCAATTACATTCGTTGGCGTTCCGGTTGTTTATAGCATTGGTGCTGATGGAGATAATCGATTGCATGGTTACAGTAGTATATGTATGTCTAGTAATGTTCTTAATCCATATTTTAAAATGTGGATTACAGCTTATGTATCTATTACTATTATCTGTTGGATTATTACATGTTTCCTGTACACTAAAATGCTAAATTCGATTCGTCAATCAAGTCAACAAGTACGCAAAAGTGAGAATAGTAAAGATAAGCGTATAACTATACGTCTGTTCCTGATATTAATCACGGATTTGATCAGTTGGATTCCGTATTATATCATTTTCATGCAGGTTTTACATACATCAGAATCTGTAAACATATTAACACTGCAATTCGTCATCATATTTGCCTTACCAATCAATTCTGCAGTAAACCCCTGCTTATATACGTTATCCAGCCAAACAGTCATTAATTATGCTAACAGTATTAGCAGCTCTATGCGCAGTGCATATCAAATTGTTCGCAGTAGCTCTATATTGAGTAAAAGTGGGAAAACCAAAAGCCCATCTACGACTAGCATCAGAATGGATCTAAATACATCGGAAAATCGATCACCATGGAGACATAGTACGGGAAGCAATCTATCGAGTGAAGTGTAGTTTAAAAAAGATCAGTTACTACCAATATTGGCTTTATTATCTACCAATGATTATAATTAGTATATTAGTTCATTGTGTTTGAGTAGAAATAATCAGGCCAATCGAGCATTTAGAATTAATTGCCGTTATATTAGTACTTTAGGCTAAGGCAATAATCGTCGCTGGAGATCGAAAATTTATCGCAAACACTAGTATGCATCAACTCATCTAATCATTTTTCAGTATTTTACAAGTATAATTTAACACCTTTAACCTCTGTGATCTTAAGCCACACACATACATATATATATTTTATGATTTAAAATTAGAAAATTAGGGCTACGTAGAAATGTAGCTAATTTCGATAGCTCAACACTATAAATTTTCAGCCATCATGTGTTATTAGCTTAAATACTGTAATCCATTCGAACAGTTCAATACGCGTACCGAAGGCTACACACAGTTTAATCACTGGTCTAAAAACTTAACTTCCTTATTAATTATATACTCTTACGTACTGCAAATTACAGTAATTTATTGCTGATACAGTTATAACTTTGAGATAAAGTAGTTTTAGCTATCTTTGATAGTATCAAAATTGGCTTTTAAGTATTACATATAGAATTGTTGTATTTACGACAGTGCTATATAGTATTAGTAGATGCTTAGTTTCGCATTACTCAAAAATAATTAATGCTTGCACTATTCTTATGATGATATTTTAATTGCTGTGGATTAAATGGAAGTTAATAATTTGCGACTGCTTTTATTTCTTTTACGACTTCTTTAAAAGGCATATATTCTGAGTTGATTTAAATATAAATTGCTATCAATAGTGTATTACTTACACAATAACTTCATATGCATTTCCGAATTAAGTTAGTTAGACGGCGTAACTTCCATATATGCGTAAGAATTTAATCAGTACGTTATTAATTGGAGTGCATTCTGTATTTTAGAATTTATTTAATAGAATTGAATTTCTGCTTTAATTTCTGCTGTTATGTTATGAATATTCTTCCGTAATAGTTTAATCGTAATTCATGTATTTCATCATAAATTTAATGCAAAATTAAATTTCTTTACTTAACGTAATTTGTTTTGGCTATGACCAGGAATCTAATAAAGGCATTGAAGTAGGTGAATATAGAATAATGTAATAAGTGAATTTGAATTTTTTAAGGCCTATTGTATATTACCAGCCTCAATTTGTGGAAACTAGCAACTCGGGTTGAGAAAGTAATTTCCACTCTTTTATTGCTACTACCAACTATTCGAAAATAGTATATACCGTAATACGATTAAAGGATCTTCTGTACTGCAAATATCTTCTGCAGTCAGATTCCTAATCGATAGTTCTAGATAAAAGTTAATGGCTTCCATAATCTTGGCTGTCTAGGTAATATATTCGAATAAATGGTTAGCGTCCTGAAGCTGTTCGTTTTACTGACCTTTTGTTAAATTGGGTGTTAGCAATTGGTTATTGGAACTAAGCTCATCCAATTAACCTACTGAAACTGTCCCTTGTCTTCTGTACCAAAGGATAACCTCAATACCTATTGAATATGTCTCGAATTTGTAAGTTCTGCTTCGCAGATTTACTGCATATTTTAACTGATCAAACATCAATTTGCAATAGAGAAAGAATTTACCTCATCATCAATGATATGAAGGTTTCGGCTACTTTCGAGCTATGTCATCACTTAGCTACGATACTTCGCACTCACTAACACTTCGTTTAATAAGCTACGGACATGACAAGTTTAAATTATCTTCACGTATCCATTAATTTTCAAAAACATCATTAATCATTTATTCAAGTCTCCTATCTCAACCCATAATTTGCAACACTAATAAAAGGGTTTTCACTAGTAACCTAAGAGCTGTAATTAAAACGTTCTTGATTATATTTTAAAACGAAAAAGATATAATACTTTTTGATCAAGCAGCCATAACAAGACTAATAACAATTACGAAATACGGAATGAATATAAAGCCATGGCTGTAGACTATTTACAATTGATTAGAAGTTAATAGGCAGTTTATTATCTAATTTGGATATTACGAAGTAACTTTTGCTCAGCTGTCGTAACGTTGGTTTAATATAATAATTTATCTAGGAAAGAATTTACATACCGTTATCTATGACGCTGTACATAATTTTAATAGATAACTACATACTTGAATAATATTATCTATAAACTGATAATGATAAATCTTCATGTAGATATAAATTGACTGACTTTTTCAATAAAGTTTGAGTGCAGTTTTGGCAAGAGAGACTAGTATCGTTTTACTGTTTCTCCTGATGATGGCAGATCGTCAGTAGATAGAGTCTTACTGTAGGTTAATGTAAGGGAAGACGAATCTAGCAGAAGACTTAGAGCTACTTATCATAGCTTTTAACTATGCCGATTTACAAATTTCGATTTGTAAACTGGAATATTAAATAAATTAGATAAGTAATTGTTACGGTATGTACTATCGGGAAGAGTTAAATGACTAAGTTTAGCGAATCAGCATTCAGTCGTAACTGTAATTATGATTAATACTAGAATATAGATGTATTACGATGACTTTGTGAATCGACATACTGTGGTCCGATTACGTAAAATCAGTCAGTAAATGTCCATATCGATAATAATTGTTGTGTAATGATTCATTAATGCTAGCTACTGCTAAAAGCTATTAAGGCTTGGCAGATCATTGAATAAAGTTAGTTCTCTAGTTTTGTAGTGTAGAAGCAGAGGCGTCTAAGTTCTTTTAAGTAACTAAGGGATACTGAATCCAGGGAACTTTAGAAATTTCGAGATTTTTTTACGTAAACCTTGTCGCAAAACTGGTTTGTGATGGTAACCTGCTTCGTTAATTGATGAAGCAAAAACAATCGTGATGACTACTTTGCCATATTATTAAGAGTTCAGTTAAAACACTGATTCTCCAAAGTAAAAACTTCCAACTTTTATAAATCTTAAGTCTCATTACTGTTAATTTCGACATATGTCAGGTTGGTTTCAGAAGCATTTTAAGAGTAATATTCGCACTTGAGTCATGAAGGTATGAAACAGTTAAGACGACTGGCTAAATTCTATTAAAGATTTTCGATTACATAACAAAACTTTAAAGTATAAGAGAGCATACTTCGTTTCAATAGTCGAATATTAGAATATTATTATAGACCAATACATGTGTTTACAGTTATATGAGGATATAATTAGCATTGTTAACCTAAAGACATTAAGTTAGTATGTATTGCTATGATAAATGTAACTACATATTAGATACTACAGGCATTAATAATTCTTGATTTAGAGAAGAAGTAAGGCGAAATTATAATTCTTCACGAGCATATATTTACGTATTTATCAATTTCATGCAGCATAAATTAAGGCTTGTATAATCGATAATAACTTATTATATGCAGATTGTATTCTATGCTATAAGAACTCTTTAAGAAGTAAAGCCAGTTCTACGATTTTTGAGTCCAAATAATTTTTGTGATACCAGATAGCGACTTCTGCGTAATAATCACTCAGTATGACTCAAGAATATGTTGAAGCCTTGTCAGGGCAAATTGATGAGAAATTACTAAAAATTCAATCAAAATCTGTAAAATGAATCAATTCCGCGTAGGTGTTTATAATTTGAAGAATACGGTAAGGAAGGAATTTATTATTTATAAGGTTATGGTGCAATAAATAATGATATAATAAGAAATTCTTTAAGACTTATTTGCAAACAAAACATGACTGCATCAAGCTACTATTAAACTTTAGGTAAGTGATTACTTGGACGTGATTTTCGATTCAAGTATCATTTTATAATATTCAATATTATAAGCAAAAATATCTAATTGCAACTTTAAAGAATTAAATTATTGAGAACTTGCTTATTATCAATGACCTCCAATTAAATATGCTGTTCAATAAGGTAAACGAGTGATCGAAAAAATTAAGTTTTAGTCGGTCCCTCGAGAGCTCAAATTTTTTTCCTTTGCGTCATCTATTAGATTTCAGTTTAAATACGGTATTACAGGGGCAGTTTGCAAAATGACCGACTTTGCATACGGTCACGTTCATATATACTAGCAGATTATAT